GGTTGAAATAAGAAACCAATAGAAAAAAACTCAAAAAAAAAAAAAAAAAAAAAAAGAAAAAAGAAGAAAGTACACCTAAATCTATTTTGTCACGCAGTCTCTGACCAAGTGACCCAGACTACAAAGGCTGTTTTTGAAATGTTTTGCATATATTAACCTACATTTAGAAAAGTGCAAAAACTCCTAAGGGATGAGGAACCCGTACTATGACCCAGCCCAGCCTGAAAACCTCTGGGACCCCGACTCCGGCAGGTGCTTGCAGCCAGCAGAGGTGGGACAGGCGAGGCAGGCGGCTCGCCAGGCCCTTCCACAGCAGGAACAAGGCTTTTGCTTCCAAGCTCTGGACTCAGAACTCCCAGCCGGTTTCAGATTCTCAGTCCTGCACCATGTGGACAAACCGGCCTCTCAAGTGGTTTCTCAAGTGCTGAGAAACACCGTGAATCGAGAAATCGGTGCACACACACTGCAGAGATGAGCCCCCGAGCTGGCCTGCTCTCAGGGGCAGAGACCGATGTCGGGGCAGAGCAGGGTGAACAGGTGACCCAGGCGGACCGGCTATTCTGGCAGTTACCAGGGCTCCAGGCCCCCCAGCGTGTGGGTGGCCGCTGCAGTGTGGTTTGGCCGCACACTGCCACACAACCAAATAGAACAGGACGTGACACGCAGGGTTAGCAGCGAACAAGGGCCAAAGAGTGGGCGGCGGTGAGCGCTCGCGAGCCGGGCTGCGCTCTGCAGGGGAAGCACGCCACCTTTCCAAGGAGAGGGGGGGAGCGGGAACACACACGAGCCCCCGCCCGGCTCCAGCTCTCCAACTGAGGGTGCTGTCGGCCGCCGAGGAAGACCCCTGACCCAGCACCTCCACGTGCCTTTCATGACCTCGTGGGGTGTGGCTGCCCCTTGCCCGCAGGCCGTAGATCTGCCAGGGAGGGACTTTGATAGACTGTTCCGCCCCACCCCCACCCCCGACTCACCCACAGCTGAACTCAGCCACCTGGGAACCTGGGAGCCCACTGACCTCAGGGACGCTCAGACAGGAGCAGTCAAGGCGGGACGCCCCTGGCCTGGGGAGAGCTGCGGCCGTGGGTTCAGCCTAGCCCTGCGTCAAGTCTGAGAAGATGCATGGGTGGCCCAGTGAGCTGTCCCAGGCCTGGCGATGTCCCCGCAGGAGCTGGGCCTGCAGTGGGTGTCGCAGAGAAGCCCTGTTTGCTGGGGAAGGTTGACCCAGAGTGCGAGTCCCTGGTCAAGGTCAGGGTTACCCAGCTGATCTTAAAAGCCCCAGAGCTGGGGTGTCCTCTGTCCCTCCAAGGAGGGGTGGCGGGCAGCCCCACGGAGCACTCCCCTGCCCCTGTGTCGTTCTGAGCTCCAGGCGGCATGGTCACGTCAGCGAGACTAAGGGTCCTGCCTGTCTGAAGGCAGTGGGCTGCAGGGCGGGGCACTCATGGCAGCTCTGTCTAGAAAGAGCCCTCCTTTTTTCTTAAGTTTCTGTCTTTCTTCCTTGAGAGGGAGAGAGGACAGAGAGAGTGACAGGGACAGAGAGAGCAGCAGTCAGCCCACATGCCCCAGGCCTCAGCCAGCCCAGCGCTCATGTACGTGCACCCAAAGGGCTCAGAGAGGTCCCGGGAAGTGAACCCAGGGCCTTTTCCATGTGGACGCAGCTGCGTCTCCACCATGCCACGCCTGGCTTCTACAGGGACCTTCGAGCGCGAGAGGAAGTCCGCAGACTCTCATCAGCCGTGGGGACCAGCAGCGGCCCCCTCTGGACAGGCGGGGACATGTGAGGGTGTGTGAGAGCCCCAGGACTACGTCTTGGTACTGCCTGCCCCGTGGTGCTGGGCAGTTCCCACCAGGGAGGGCAGCTCCTGAGAGGACGGGCCCCTCCGGAGCCTTCTCACGCTGTCCCTGACGCGGGGCTAGAGTGCTGTCCCCTCCCTTGGGTAACTGCACACCTCAGGCTGCATAGAGACGCAGGAACGTGTGCATTCTTGTTCACTTTCTTAAGATGTAATATTCCTGGACTGAAACCTCACATTTATAATCTGGTGTATACTCAAGTCTTAAGGCGAGTGCCTAGTTTTACTTTCTAAGTGTTTTCGAACAGGGAGAACAATTTCCTTTGTATTTTTCTGAACAGTGGACTTCCCCAGAACTAGAAAATGACAGGAATGAGAAATGACTGCACACACATATTTCTGGTCATGGGGAGGGGGGCGCGGGGACAGCCCGAAGCAGGGAGCTGTTCCTGGCTGGTGTGGTGTGCAGACTGTCTCTCTCTCAGCTCTGGGGACTCACTGGCCCTTAGGGACCACCTCCTGGGCTGGGAGCGCTGGAGCAAAGCGTTGGAGACACGGAGACGCTCCTTCCGGTCCTGACGGGGAAGCCGCTCTGGCCCTGCCAGGGGCGAGCTCTCGCTGCGACCCTGCGGACAGCTGTGGTCGGCATCTGCAGGGATGGCTGTGGGAGGCTGAGCTGGCTGGTGGCCTGACTCACCTCAGTGCAGTGGGCTGCATGATGCCTGCGACGGTCCCGTCTCCCTGGCCAGGTGGCCCTCTGCTCCAGGCGGTCCCTAGGCATGCGGCCCGTGGGAGCTCTTGTGTGCCAGCCTCAGGAGCAGGCTCCCCCGGCCGTCCCCACTCCCGGACCTCTGTGAGGGCACGGCTGGGCCAGCACCTGGAGGGCAGGCTGGCTCCCTCGGTGGCCCTTTTCTCATCGGTAAGATGGGCCGGTGTCACCTGCCCTGTAGGTGGCAGGGCACCTGGCACGTGCTCATTTCGTGCTCGTCCACAGTGGTGATGCAGCTGGGCCTGCACGGGAAAGGACCTGAGTTCAAGCCCCAGCACTTTCCCACGCGTGCCGGGCGTGCACGGGTGGCCCCACTGGGACCGGCTGACGGTTCATGGCATATAACTGAGGTAGCCATGGAGGCCTGGACAGCGTCTTCTCTGTAACGCGCCGCTCCACTGTGCCTGCTGTGCAGAGGGGACAGGCTCTGTTCCAGAAACATGGCTGGGCAGGGGCCTGAGCTCTCACAGCGCGGCCGGCATGGCTCGGGCCCTGGCACTCACACGTACTCGTATCTGCATCCTGTTGTGCCACAGAGCGACGCGGTCAGTGACAGGCCACATGTGCAGTGGGTCCTGGGGGCTACAGGAGCCACACTGTCCGGCCGGGCGTGAGGAGCTGGGTCACCTGGTCAGTGACAGCGTGCCCTGTGATGGTCTCACAGAGACGAAATCGCCTGGTGATGAGCTATCAGGACATGGCTTGTCGTTACTGACACATGACCGTGTTTCATGTGTGCACGCACACCACGTACCTACCACATACATGTGTATATACATGCGCCTGCCATGTAAATCCACGTGTGCACCACAAATGCACACACCATGTAGAAATACATACGCACACACTCACTCTCCTCGGAAGGGTCGCCCCGTCCCAAGTTTGCTCACGTCCCTCCTGGCTGGATTCGTACACTCTCGTCACTCCGCGTCAGTGACTCAGGCTGAGTGACGGGGTCAGAATCAGCTGCTCTTCTCGGCTGCCACCCAGGGAGTGCCTGCGAGACTCCCACCAGGCCCAGGGTGGCTCGGTGAAAGGCAGCGGCAGAAGGAGCCTTTTGCACCCTAGAGCCTGCTGCGACGCGGGTGAGTAGACCGTGCCTAGGAGAGCCTGGCAATGTTTTTTAATCTTTTTTCTTTTCTTTTTTTTTTTTAATTTGCCAGAAGGTGCATGGGCACACAGAGAGACAGAGACAGAGGGAGACACACTCCCGTGGGGCATGGGTGCACCAGAACCCCTCCCTCCCTTCAGGACCTTGGGCGTGCATGCACATGTGCCCGCTGTGATTGTCAAGCCTCCAGGGCTGGGACGTGAACTGTGTGGTTGACCATGTGGAATCTGGCTCCCTTGAACAACAGGCCACCGGGCCAGCCCAGAACGATTTTGAAAATACACTCAAGACTGTTTGCACATCTAAAAGCACTTCCAGTTTCTTCCTCTCTGGCAGACCTGGCCTCGGCATCCCTCAGCGAAGTCACGTGTGCATGTGCGTCTGGCAGAGCGGGCGTGTCTCCAGGTCCTCCCCGCAGCTTTTCACTGGCTGCGACAATACCCTTGAGTTCGGAAGCCAGAAATAACTAGTTGTATTTGAAAGACAGCTGAGCTGTGAAGATCCTGCAGAGACCCTGGGCTCTGAGTGAAGCTGCGTGGCTGTCTGCAGCATCTGCCTTCCTGGGGTGCCGCTCCTGCGGTGGGAGCCAGCCTTCTGTTCACCGCGGGCTTTGGGGCACTGGGTTCCGCAAGAGCCTGTTGTGGCGGCCTGCAGCTCTCGCTAAGGCAGCGCGGCTGTGCGAGACCACAGTCCATGGTGATGTCTGTACGGTTCGGCCATGGGCTCCTTCGCCCGAAACCCACCTGACCTTCTAGGTTCTCTGTAACCAAGATCTGCCAATAAATAGATGTGATGCAGGTTCTGTGCAGCTTTAAAGAATTCGGGTTGAATCCACTTTAAAGCAAAACATTACCCTACAATCAAATAAAAAAAGATAAAATTAAGTAGAAAGAAGAAAACTTCAAGTAAAGCTGAGCAGGGCGGGGGCTCGGCAGTGGCGCGGAGAAAACACGGCACTGCATGGCCAACCCACGTGGGAAAGTTCCGGGTCTGTATCTGGAGACCTCCTGAGTACACCCTGCAGAGGCGGGCCCATGCCCCAGGGCTGGCTGAGACAGGGCGGAGTGCAGCTCCAAGACCCTGTCAGGAGCTCTCTCTCTCCCCATTGTTCATAGAAGAAATAAGTAAACTTTAAAAAATGGAAGCAGGACTCTAAAAGTAAGCTAATAGCCCTTGAACCAAAGATAAGAACTCAACATGATGCTTAGGGAAAGTGCAAAACAATGAAAACTTTCAGCATTCTGATATGAGCTACTTCAAGGACATCTGGTCTACATTTAGTCAACACAAATGTGGTCCCGGTAACACCTTGGAAGTCTTATAATTTGCAAAAAAAAAAAAAAAAGAAAGAAAGAAAACATTGCAAAGTGCTGTTAGAAACAGGTCCCCTGACGTGGGCGAAATGGCCAGGCCTCCGGCTGTCTCGACACCACACAGCCCCCTTCTCTTTGCCTTCTCTTGGCGCTCTCAGTGGCGATGTGAACCGTCAGTCTATACCATCGTCCCACAGGAACCCAGCCTGTTTGCCACAGCAGAGCTGCAGAGGAGACCCCTCGCGGGCTTTCAGGACAACAGGACAGATGGTGGTGACGAGGAGCCCACCTCCCACCTACCCCATGCTGCTCTGTCAGAACGAGCCAGGCTTGGGTGCAAAAACAAGAAGCCCCGAATCTCAGTGGTTTAACCCGCAGTTGTTCACTCCTTGGGCGTTCAGGACAGAGGGGCTGCATGCCAGCCCTCATGAGGGACTCGGGCTGGCAGAGGTAACAAGCCACACCTGGACCCCAGGGCCCTTCCAGGCACCTTGGCAGCAGAAGCTAGAATGGTGCACACTGGGTGTTCCAGGCCTTCACCCAGAAGTGCTGGTATGGCGTCCTCCCGGCCACCACTGGCCAGAATAGTCACATGGCCTGCCTGACCACGGGGGTTCCACGGCACGTGGAGAAGAGAGCCACCTTCCGGTGACCACTGTCCGCTCACATGCAGAAGTAAGGGCTTTAAACAAAGGGTTGTCGAGACAGAAGGAGTAGTTTGATGGCAGCTGAGAAACTGGTAACTACATCCCACTAATCTCTGCTCAACGTCAGGGCTGGATTTCTGAAAATTCGGTGCAGCAGCTCACGGCTGGAAGAGCTCAGGTATTCCAGGAAAGGGGTACAGAGAACCTCGGAAAGGACTTTAACCGTTCAGTGAAATCAGTAATAAAGGGGCAAAAGACTGAGAGGTGCGAAGGCGGTTTGAGCACCTTAAGCGGTAACTGGGAGCTCACTCCTTCCGTTGCAACCGTGCTTTATGGAGACCGTCGGGGGACAGGATGCCAGGAAGGGGATTCAGACTAGGCTGGGAGGTGGCCCTCTGTGTGCTCTCCCCACAAGGGATGGAAAGTATCGATAAGGTCGTCTGTGTAAAGACCCCACTGGCCTTGGGCGGCTCTTCGGGGTAGAGCAGGCCTTGGCGTCACTGCCAGATGGCGCCTGGCTTTGGAGAAGATGCCTCTCGGCACTCATGAGGGACTCCAAGCCGCACCCGCAGGCTTGCTTTCGCGGAAGCCCCTGGTGTCTGCACTCCAATGACTTGAACACCTTCTTTGCTGCTGCTAATGTGCAGACTCCGGGCCAGGCCTCCGGGCTGCCTTGACAGAACGCAGCCCCCTTCTCTTCGCCTTCTCTTGGCGCTCTCAATGGCGATGTGAATCGTCACTCTCAATGTCATCGACGGAACTGCACCTGCTCTGCTAAAGACACCACACCCACTAGGCACCGGCATGGCCCAGTGGGCAGGTGCGCCAGGTAGTCGGCGAGTCATCAGAGCACCAATAGCAAGACGCGGAAGGGCCATCGCCGCAGACGCCCGGCTGTCTCCCCGTGGTCAAGGGTATGAGGCAGCCATGGAAGGCCAGCTTTCCCTTTGCCACCTCTTGACCTGGCTGAAACAGAACAGGCTGAAGTGGGAAGCACTTAGTAGGGCTGTGGCAACCCAGGAGACAGAGGGAGCAGGGCCAGGGTGTGAGCAGGGACCCGGGAGACAGAGGGAGCAGGGTTTGGTGTGAGCAGGGACCTGGGAGACAGAGGGAGCAGGGCCAGGGTGTGAGCAGGGACCCGGGAGACAGAGGGAGCAGGGTTCAGTGTGAGCAGGGACCCGGGATTCAGAGGCGCCAGGGTTCAGGGTGTGAGCAGGGACCCGGGAGACAGAGGGAGCAGGGTTCAGTGTGAGCAGGGACCCGGGATTCAGAGGCGCCAGGGTTCAGGGTGTGAGCAGGGACCCGGGAGACAGAGGGAGCAGGGCTCGGTGTGAGCAGGGACCCGGGATTCAGAGGGGCCAGGGTTCAGGGTGTGAACCCAGGAAGGGTAACAGGGCAGAGACAGGAGGATTATCTTAGGGACCCGGAGCAAGAAGAAGCAGGGTTCAGTATGTGGACACTGACCCATGTGCCAGAGAAATAAGAGAGATGGAGAAACAGAGAGAGAGAGAGAGATCGCTAGAAGACCGAGAGACGGGAAATTGGCAGCATCGCGGTGAGGCCGACTGCTCACAGCCGGAAACCCAAGCACACAGCAGGGCACCTTCGTGAGGCAGCTCCTCCGGGAGTGCTCCTTCCCGAGGTCCTCACGGGCACGAACCCCTCTGGGGCTCACGGCACTGGGGGAGACGACTCCTGCATGTGGTGACCGAGTTAATGGAGCAGAGAAGGGGACAGAGCGCACTCCCGGCTGGAAGAGCGAGCCCGGCCACGCAGGGCAGAGACCCCACGCCTGCTGAGCCTTGTGCCCTCCTCGGTAGGTGGGCCACGTCCTCTGCAGCAGCTCTGGGGTCCTTCTCCCTGCTAGGGCCCCCTGCCCACACCCCGGCAGGCTGAGGAGTGGGGGGACAGCAGTGAGGACCGTCAAGGCGAGGGGGATCCATGGTGCTGTCCACCACGGCCTGGAGCTTCGGTGTGGCCAGGGCCCGTGGCTCCTGACAGTGATGCCAAAAGAACAGTGACTGCGAGGTCGTGGCCCAGAACCCTCCGCAGCCCCCTCTCTGCCTGCACACACTCTCCACAGGGAACAAGGCCCTCCAGGCCCCAGTGGGAGCCAGCGACCCCCTTCCCGTGCCTGTCCGCGGCCGTCAGCAGGACCTCTCAGTGCTTGCCTAGCACTGCCTCCTCTAGGAAGCCCTTCCTGACTGCCACCGTGCCACGACAAGCCGCCCACCTCTTCCACATGTCCAGGGGTGTCCTGCCTGGCCAGGGCAGGGTCCTGCATGGCTGCCCATGTCCACAGCCAGTGCTAGACCCCATTCTGACTGAATGCCAGGTCCCCGCTTTCTGGGGGCCGATTTCCAGCACCTGCCCTCGCGGCTGGCCGGGTGGGTGGGGCAGGCAGCAGGGCAGAGTGTGCAGCTACTTCGGAAACTCACGAGCAGCTCCGAGGCACGGCTCTCCGACACGGTGCAGCAGAGCCGCCTGGGAGTCCCGGTGGCCAGGTGTCTGCTGGGCAGGATGGCCACGTGATCCATGGACATGAGGCCTCACCTTTAGAGAACAGAGGAAAACGGACGGCCCTGGGCAAACGGGCAGGGCAGTCACCTCACCACTGGGTCCACCATTCTGCCACTTTATACCCTCCCAGCCCGGCTGTGCTGCTCACTGAGTTCATCCCAGGGGACAAAGCCCCTCCAAGATTTATGGGGCAGGGCAGGGCAAGGCTAGACTCCCGCCCAGGCCCAGCGGGAGCGAACTGGACGACCTCGTGTCCACCACGGAGGTCAGGACAACTTCCTCTTGCATTTTACACTGCTGGGCCCTTTGTAGAAAGCACATGTGGGATTTGATATTATACAGTCTGAATTGTAAATTACAGCCTCGCTTTCATGATGGGCTGTTTCGGCCCCACCGCACGATCATATGCCCTCGCTTGGTAGGTTCGCCACCCACAGCCGCCAGCATTAGCTTTCAACAACGTTAAACAGGAAAGTTGGCCCCGAAGGTGCAGGTTATGCAGAGAAGCACCAGGTTTCCAGCCGAAGCGTGGCCCCAAGTCCTTCCAGCACAGCCTGCTCCCACGGCCACAGACGGCCACCGGACCGTGCTGCAGACCTCAGTCTCGGAGCAACGTTGTTATTCGGCACCATCTCCTGAAGGAACAGATTCCAAATTAAACTGGGACGGCAACTCCACCTGGAAAAAAGATCAAGCCTGCTCTGCTACCTGCACTGTGTCAGAGCCCGACAGGCAGCAGAAGTGACCCACGTCCCTGCAGGCTGGTCTCTGACAATCAGCAGGACCTGAGCACAGGGCTGTCTGCAGACTCCCACAGCCTGAAGCAGCTCGGAGGCCTCCGGGGCGGAGGTGAGCAGCTGCCCACTTGTTTTTTCATGATGCTCTGGGTTCATACTCTGGCTGCATCGAGGTCTAGGTTACAGAATTACAGGAAGTCACAGAGTCTGAGGGCACTCACAAAGGCATGCGTAGCAGGCAAGACAGAGTCCGACAGACAGACAGCGGGGGCGAGCCCCGTCCGTGGCCGAGAGCAGGCACCCCTGACGAAGCCCTGGGGAATGGCCAGGGAGGGGTACGACTGGCCGGGCACTGGGGCTCAGCAGGCTGCTCTCACGCAGACCTGCTGGACGCCAGGATCTCGGAATTCTCCTTTGATTATGCACCCTCTCCCCACTCATGAGCACTGTTCCTTTCACCTTGGGCCCAGGTGTGACAACGCTCTCTGCCTCCACCGCACCCCGTTTTCCTGGTCCCCAACATGCACCTCAGAGTTTCAGTGCTGATGCTCTGGAAGGCAGTACAAGACTTTCTGCCTCCCACTTCTTTTTCATAAATTTCTTGCATATGTCTGCTGTCTTCATCTTCCATATGCAC